AACCGTCGATTTTGTTCGATCAAAAGCGTTTATTCATTAAGATTTCAATGATTATTTCGTTGTTTTCGAAACTGTCTTATCGCCATAGCAGAGCATTCTGAAACACTCTATCTTTTTACGTCGCGTGTAATGATTGTCGGCAATTACGAGCAACTAGACGGAAGGAAACCTTTCTGAGACAAATTTCCGGAAAATTTTCAAGTTTTCCACGTGTTCTTCCAAAGCTACGGCGACGCACCCCTTTTTTTTTGTTTTTTTCTTTTTAATTACACGCCGATCGAACGGAAATCGACGAATGTTTGTTATATTCTCGAGAAAATTGTAACGTGACACTGTGTTCGAAAGTTCTTTGGTTTTTCCTCCAATACTATTTTACTAGTGTAAATTAATTAATCAGATTTATCCCTTAAACTTAATTACCGACACCGTTCGCGATACCTAATTACAATGCTATTGATGTATTGAGTCCCACGCCATGCAAACATGTTTCTATGTACATATTTTTATTTGAGTATTTAGTCAGAACACCTCGAAGTTATTCATTATTATTTATTATGTTTTGTTTCACGTCATTTAGAACGATTGTATTGTTAGGTCGTGTGATACGAAACGTTGGATTCCGTAAAAGAGAATGAATACCATTTTACATAAACGCGCAATTTCATGACAGAAAAGTACCACGAAATGGTGCTTATGGCACATTAATTTAAAGCTTAAAGCTTACCGAAAGTAACAGTATAAATGCCCCTTTAATATTCTTAGCATAGGCAAAGTTATAATTTAATAAAGTAGGACTAAATTTTTGAATACCAAATAGCTCATTTCGAGAGCCAACTCTAAATGACTGGAAAGTATCTCAAAATGGTGTTTAGTATATACAAATTTCAAGCTTACACTTAGCTGAAAATGACTATGAAAATTTAGCATCAATATTGTTAGTGAAAATAAAGTTATAAATTAGCGAGGTAGAATTTAAATTTTTGAATACTGAATAGCTCATTTCGAATTTACGACCGACAAGTAATGTCAAATGGCATTTGGCAAATGTACAGTTTAAGATTTATTAAAAATAACTGGATAATAGATACTGCTACTGTAAATAAAATGAAAAATTAAATAACTGAAGCTATTAATGTTTTGATGGTCGATTTCTAAAGATGAAAAGTTAATTCGTTTTCATGACATAAAAGTATCATAAAATATCACTTTTAGCATATCAATTTAAAGCATATAGCTTCACAAAAATAACTATAATTCAGTAATATTTCTACTGTGAGTAAATTAGCAATCAAGGAAAGAAAGTACTAGTTTATAAATGAAAACTGATGACTTTGAAACAATAAAATATTTGACGTCATTTTATAACATAAAAGTATCATAAAGTACCACTTACAATATACCAATTTAAAGCTAAAAGATCAAAGAAGATCATATAAATAGTTTCTTGATATTTTTAACTTCAAAGATATGTATATAATTATTTAAGAATGTTTTGACGAACAAATTATTTAAATTAAAAATTTTCATTCTTTCTTAAATGACCCAACATCTCATATCACACGATCTGAATACTACACTCTCTTTCTCTCTCGCTTTCATTCCGTACAGCCATGCTACTGGAAAAATAGAGTAAGTTACGATAGTTAAATTAAGATCCATTTGTCTTTTGTGCGATTCGAAGATCAATGACTGTACTTCTGTCTTGTTTCAATTCACGCTTCATCATCGTGGTTTCTAATCGTTTGCATGATCGTAATTTATTAATATAACATGATACGATCGCTAATAATTACTTGTGTGTCCCGCGTATGTTTCCTGGTTAATACTGTTAACTTTACATTCGTTGTAAGATTGTATAACTGCCTTGTCTTTTAGAAGCTCTGAAATTGTTTCCGGTTAGAAACCCCTTCGCAAAATTCGTAATTTTTCAAATAAAATTAACGTTTCGTTTAGTTATCCTTTTGAAAATTTCAAACATTGATAATAGTTAATTTTCCAAATTGATATTCAGAAAATTATTCAATTTTACAATTTTTATACATTGTAATTGACAAATTACTAATTCCTATATTTAGCTAGTAATTTTATAAGAAATAACTATTAAATTGCAATGGGTAAATTAATCATTTTTAAATTGGAATGAGCAAGTTAATTATTTGGTATAAAATAATTTTTAAATTAGAGTGAACAAATTGCAGTTATCAAATTATTAATTTTGTTTAAATCGTAATTAACAAATTATTGATCTCAAAATAAAAATTTGCAAATTATTAATATTAAAACGACAATATGCAAAGTCTTAATTTTAAAATTGAAGTTAGCTACTAATTCTCAAACAGCAATTGGAAAACGAAGCTGTTTAATATTTACTTAATTAAAAACTTTCTAATTTCGAATCTTTCGAGTAATCAACTGATTTGAATAAACAATTCCGAGAAGATTAAGTAGATTACAATGGCTTGTATAATCGCGGAATAATTATGAAATATAAACTTCCGTTCGTTTGTGAAAAAGTATTCAAAGGCGGAGGAATTCTTGTCGGAGTTAAAGTTTCTTTTATCAAGTAGCTAATTACGTTTGAGGAGTTCTCCACGTTTACCGGAAACTGCGCCATTATCTTCGTCGATTATGCACAAAAGCCACTTCAACGAATGACTATTCCGAAGATCCTGTCGAGCGTCCTCAACTATTGAATACTTCTTTTACATTTGTATTTTCACGGAGAGATTTTCATGGTTTAGAGCACGTAAACAGAAACTTACATTTTTATCAATCATCTTCAATTCCATTATAAAATCGCGTCGTTTAAAGTCCTTTTTAAAATGCGCTATACTACGCTCGAATTCCAACATAAATAATTTAATAATCAATACAATTATTTAACCAACATTAAAATATTAACATCCATTGTATCAATTTAAAACAAAAAATACAATTTTAATTAAACGATTCATTTTGCTAGATTTACTTAAATAATAGCTTAATAATTTAGTCGCAAGAAGAAAGTGTAGGAAAGTGTACTTGCAAGTTGTTCAATCGAAGAACTTAAACGAAACGTTTCTCAAAGAGCAGATTCTGATCAGGGTACAGTCATTGAAATACTTCTGTATGGTCGGAAAACTCAAGTGGCAAGCAGGGTATGCTTTATCGCGCGATCAGACACCTTTCTCGCACCTCAATTCAAAATCATTCATCAGAAGATCTTTCAAGAACTCAGATTCGTGTCTGTACGGAAAGCAGGGGTTGTCCAACTTGGCAGTTTTTTTTTGTCTATTATCGTTCTTATCCCTTCAATTCCTGCTCACTTTCTATTTCCACCTTATAATTGATTAAACATGCTACATTCTCGCAAAACTAAATGTATAGAGGATTTAGCATAAATTCATGAAAAGGAAATGAAAGAAAAATGAAGAATGATTAAAATTAGCTAGAGCGTACGTTAAAATAGTTTGAAAATAATTGAAAAGGAATTGAAGACAATTTAAATTATGTGAAAAGTAATAGATAGTAATAGGAATTGATTGAAAGGAATCGACAGTAAATAAAAGCAATTCACGAATAATTGATAACGATGGGAAATAAAGGAAAGCAACTGAAGAATAATTTTTCGCAATGGGAAAGAATTGAAATCAAGAATAATTGCTGTTGGTAGGAAATAATTGAAAACAATTGGAGAAACATTTTTAACAATAGGAAAAAATTGCAATGAATTAAAGAAAAATTAGTAATAGTGGGAGATAATTGAAAGAAGTTGGAGAATAAATGTTAACATTGGGAAATAATTAAAAGTAATTGAAGAATAATTGTTAACAGTGGAAAAAATTGAAAGCAATTGAAAAGTTAATAATGGAAATAATAAATAATAAATAAATGGAGTTAATAATGTAAAATAATGAAAATAGTTTAAAGAATAATTGTTGACTATGAGAAATAATTGCAAGGAATAGAAGAATATTATTAACGATGGGAAATAATTTAAACCAATAATTCACAAGAATTGATAACTTGAAAAAATCGAAATGAATTGGAACTTGAATTAAACTGAATAAAACCAAGTTGAATCGTATTGTCCCAACTTGAAATGAACCAAATGGAATCGAATTAATTGGAATTGATTCGACAATAACTGAACTAAATCGAATTAACTCGAATTGAAATAAGAATTGACTTGAGTCAAACTAAATCGATTTAAATACAACCCGATTGACTTGAATTAAATCAGAGAGAATCATACCGACTTGAATCCAATGAAACTTGAATCTTATGAAACCAACTTGAATTACTTGAATGTAATGAATCTAACTTGAATTATTTGAATCCAATTAAACCTGCTTGAATTAATCGATCAAATCAACTTGAATTATTTGAATCCAATTAAATCGACTTGAACCATACCTAACACCTGTACGAAATAGTAGTATCCTCATCCCCTTTTCCCCGTTTGCACCCGAATTAATTACAGGAACGTTAATCATCACTGGGAGAAAATTACAACTTTCTATAAATGAACCTGCATTTATTATGTGTTTCACCTTCGTTTACCAATCAATCAATCGATCAATCCGTGAAAACATTGGACACCCCTGTCTCAAGTTTCTTATTTGGCAGTTATATAAAGACCGTATCAGTTCCACGAGTGACCCTTCACACGTGCGTGATAACGTTCACGATTCGATTGTAATCCCCGCACACAAAGCAGTTATCATTACCCTTATCATTATCATTATTATTATTATTATTATTCATTATTATTATTCATTTCTCATTAACACAAGTATGTATAATAATCATATCGTTAGTAGTATCATTCAATTACCCCTATCGTTAATTATTCATTAATAATATTACGATTATTATTGTTGTTGCTGTTGTTGTTATTATTATTATTACTATTATTGTTGTTCTTTCTCTCGTTAATTCGTGTCTCGTTTGTTTTCATTTTCTTCTAAATAACGTTAGTTGAAAAGGCCGCGACAACGTTCTCCCGAAGAATGTACAGCACCGTTTCTCGAATTCCCGAAGATAAAGGAAAAACGAAAGAAAGAAATGTAAATGCGCGCGCGCGTCAACGATGATTAAACGACGAACATCGATTTATCTATCACGGAGAGAAAGGTGACAGCGGTCGATTAATTAGGTTAACAGAGAGGGTAACCGAAGAAAGTGAACGCACAACGTGGCCGTGTATTGTCAACAGTATGTCGAGGCGTCTCTGTCCTCCTCCCGTGACACATGTGTGTATACATCATCCCTAGTCCTTCCTCGTTATTTCATCCCTAGTCCCTTCATCGTCGACCCTTTTGTCCCGGGAATACTTTGATTCGACTTTTATCTTTTCCTTTTTTTGCTGATCGAACTGATTCGATAGAGTCCAAAGAACCGAAACGGAACATCCTCTTTCCTCTTCAGCTTCCTGCTGCTCTTCATTGTCCTAGCTTCTCGTACTACTCCACCTCTTCGTCGACGCTCAACCGGAAGCACCGTGCACTCTGTCCGCGTCCAATTTCTCCAGGAAGAAGAAAACGGGAGAACAGAGAAGGGAGAGCGAGAAGAGGGGAGATATTATAAAGCGAGGAAGATGTCTGTTGTCTTCGTCAGGCTCTCCCGTAGCAGCCTCCTCGAGATCCACGTGTCGTCGTTTCTACAGGGACACAGAGAAGCATGGGTCAGTTATGTACATTTACATTCTTCAACGTTTCGCGAGATTCCAGTATACAGAGTGTCAAAAACATACGGTAATTTATTTAGAATCTCATCATTTTCTATGACATTTTGATCTATGAGCTTGACATATTAATTGCACATGTCACACAATAAAACATTTCTTTTTAAACAATTAATATGTTTGTAAAATCTGCTAAGTATTTACGTTAATACGTCACATTGTTCCTATACAGTTTGTTTACACACTATGAATTGCATTTAACAGCCATAATTTTCAGCCAAAAATTCAATTAAATAAAAACGAAGGATTTTGGTATAAATTTGTAGTGCTTATAAGAAGATGCTAAAAGTAAATATCAAAAAGTATTAAGATCAGGATGCTGAAATATAAAAGTATTTTAGAAATAGTTGACCTTTCGAACTTAATCGGTAGAGTGCGTCCTGTGTGCTGCATAAATATTGAATAGTTTTTTCTCAACACCCTGTATTTTTGAAACGTTTCATCGGCCATCGCTAAGGGCGAGTCGGTAGTTTTGCTTCATATTACGGTCGACATTTGAATGACCCACCCCTAACCATAGCGCGTTTCTGCCGGGTCTGGCCTCGTTTCCGCCACTGAATTAACCGGCGAGATTGTTGAATACGTGAATTCGCGCACGTAAACAAATGGCCGGCCGGCTATGGCTCGTGAAACGGTGAAATTACGTTGCGGACGTTCCTTTTTTAAATGACAGCTAGCTGGATGGATAGAGTAGGTGTTCGGCAGCGTTTAAATGACGCGGCGGATTATGTGCATGAATATTAAGGCTGTTGCTTAATGCGACTAGCGTATCTTGCATGAAGGTTGCTCTTTTTTAGAATTTTATCAGGTCATTCGGTGAATAATGGCATGTCCGTATGTAACTATGTCAGGATAATCAAATCAGTGATTCGATGGATTTGTTAAATCATCTAAATTCAGTTAATAATTTTATTCATAACAATACCAGTAAATAAGTTTTCTATCTAATATTCTATTTAATAGAATTCAATTTATTCTTTTTCATAATAATTGATAAAATTGTAATTTATATTTTGTTAATTTTATTATTATTTGTATTTTGGAAAATCAGACTTTTAGTTAACTACATGAAACTTGGTCACACCCGATTCAAGTCAGATCAAACCATGATCAAACTTATCCCAAGTCGGATTGATCTTTAATCAGATCTAATCGAAGCTAATTCCATTCGGATTAAAGCTTCATTAGACACAATACAATTCAAATTAAACCTTGATCAGATCCAACCCCAGATTAAACCTTGATGAGACATAAATCAAATCAGATTAAGCTTGGGTCAGATTTAACCAAAGTCAAATCAATCATTAATCAGATCTAATTCAAGTCACATTAAACCTTTATCTCACCCAATCCCACTCAGAATAAACTTTGATTAGACATAAATCCAATTAGGTTAAGTTTAGGTCAGATCTAACCAGAGATCAATCATTGATCAGATTTAATTCAAGTCAAATTAAAAATCTTGATCCAATTTAACCTCATTTAGATGATTCCTTAATTATACCCAAAATACGTCAAACTTTAATTAGATCTAACCTAAGTGACATCAAACTTTAGATCTACCCCATATCACATGAAACTTTAATCAGACCTAACCCAAATTAAAGCTTAATCAGATTTAACCTAATTCAAATCTAACTGCAGCTGCATCTAACCTAGTCTAAACCAAAGCCCAGACTTAACCAAAGTTTGACCCAATCCAAATTAGAAATGAATTAAATTGTAAGTTACAGGTCTGCATAAAATTACGTTACGTTATAAATAAAATCTGAATGTTTGATTAGGTTATATAGAGATGTTAAACGGTTAGATTAACCCGCATTCAAGAGATAAAAAACTGATAGGAATTTTTACGGAGGATAAATTAATTATGTAATAACAATAATCGGACGAAGTAAAGTAGAAGAAACGTAACAACGTTCACATGGAAATTCGCGTGGAATTTTCGAAAATTCAATTAAGTTGCGTCCACAGTTTCCATCGGTGTCTATTATTCCCGGAAAATTGTATACCAGTCCAAGGAAATTATGCACGTGACAACGGAAACGAGGTGAACTCGTTCTGTAAAACGAATTAACATTTCCATACCGTATTAATTTCGTTTCCCGCGTTTCTCGTGTTTCGTTAAAAGTAACGTTACATCCGAACAACGTTCACGGCGAGTGCCATCCTTCATTACAAATTGATGGATATGACTGTTTGCTTGGTTTTCATTAATACCACTCGTTTCGAACGAATCAATCTATTATTTCGTTCAATTTAAACGAATAATTTCGGGGTTTATTGATGTGTAATTTGTATATGAAAGTAGTCGACTCACCTTTGGCGTTTTTTGTGCATTTTTTCGGTGACTTGACCGGGGCAGTCTATTTATTGGACGATTATGTGTGGCGCACGATACAATATGACTACCGTGGCCAGAACCGTGAACAACGTGAACGTGTACAAGCAAAGCCTACAATTAAAAAAAAATGAAATCGTTAAGTCATTTTTTGTCCATTTTCCTTTGTTTCACTTTTTACATGCATAGATAATGTAATAAAAATGCAATGATCAGGATGAAGTTAGGACTTTTTCTGTGGAATATAAATTACGTTCAATAATTTAAATTATGAATAACCCTTTATAAGTGACAATATTGTTGACATCAATTTTTTCTTACAATAGCATGCTAAGATCAATACTATGGACAAGTTTTTAAATTTTCAAACTTTTAAAATGTAGCATTTAAAAATTTTCAAATTCAAAAAAATAGTTTCAATGTAGTGATATATATTTTGCTAGCAAATTCTTCCTTGATTTTTCATCCAGAAGACATACATACGTACAGTGTCTCAATAAAATATATTCACATTTTGTTATCATGCAATTTAATAAATAAGATAAAATAAGGATAGTTGATTATTTTAAAATCATTATTATATTTGATAATAATATTTGAAGTGTGTATACAATTTATCACGACACCCTGTATATATCGTCTGCACCTATACAGAATCTTGTCCATTTTCTACGAGCTTATAAAAGGTTAACAATAAATAACAATAGTGGCCAGAAGTTCAAGTTTTCAATGAGAATAAGTAATTAATTCGCGCAGTATCAAATAAAACTTAACGAAGATTAAAATATACCCAACCTGTCCACCACCATAGCGGCATATTTCCAATCGCTAATTACATCGTCGCTCTCGTCCGCTTTTTTCATACGATCCGTAATGAATCGTAATTCTTTAAGAATTGTGTGTAATTCCTCCTGCATCCCGCTAAGAGGTAACGACGCCGACGTATCTTCGACCGTCGCTGGCCTCCCAGTGGACAACGGTGTACCATACGCCGACCTATCGTTAAATTATTACAATCAATTATCGAAAATCAATTATTCGTTATTTTTGATGGACCGTTGAACCTTCGTTGCTCCACTTCGATACAGCGAGGTCGTGAAATACGATCTTGCACACGAGGCTTCTATAGCCAGTGTGTTTTTCGTAGAAAATTGCGTGACGTTTAATTACTTTTATGTGAATACATCAAATTCTTAAAGAAACGTTTAAATTGTTGAGTCTAAATCAACTGTAATTTTCACTTTTCGTTTCATTTTTATTTTTATTGTTCTGATTAGCTATTTGTATCACTGCGCATACGCCATGCGCATATTGTATGAGCGCCATCTTGAATTTCTAATGACGATAGTTTTTAAGTACGAATTGATATATTTTGAATTAAATATTATTAAAATACATTTGTATCTGTATTTTTATTTAACGATACTTAACATTACAAAATGATACGTATTATTTCGAATATTCAATTAAATTATGGTTACTCTTTGCAATTTCAAAAGGTTTCTAAAATATATTTACCCTGACAAGTACACCATACTTATGAAACTACACGATATAAAACGATATAAAATTTATTTTCTTTTGGAAGTTTAAAATTACACTTTGATTATGACAGTAAACTTTTTGAAATTCTATAAAACAATTTTAGTAACACTACGAGCTAAAAAACATTGCAAAATTACAAGTAAAAAGATTAAGAGACACGACGTAAAGTTTAATACGATTAACATCAGTAATAAAGTTATAAGTTAATTCGAATTGATTTTCTCGTGAAAAGAAGCTTTCATTGAACCGCGAAGATTCGCAAGTTCATTGTTGACAGATTAAAATGTTCTCAGTTTTCATAATAGAAAGTTCTTACGAAAGAAATAACAGGATCTCGCAGAAGACCAAGAGAAACCCTAGTTGCTAAGAGAATAAAAGAAAAGTTTACCTTATATATCCGGAAGGAGGATTTCCCGCACTATTTCTGTGACGAAAGTCATCGTCGATGTCTAAAACATTCGCGAGCAAACTCTTGCTACTTCTTTCTTGTAGCTCCATATCCTTCATCCGGTTGCTCATGAGAATATTCTTCTTCTGGATCTTTTTGCCTGGACGACTCATGCACAGCAAACACGGCAGCCAGTTTAAAAACAACGTTTTTATCTGTGTAAAATTGATAATAATTTAAATTGACCACATTCGTCTTACAACTGAACGTTAATTTGTTTCTTATAATTAACAAAATTTTTATTTCAATTAAAAATAACATTCTCCCCATGTTTTCAAGACTTATGTTTAATTGCATCTTAATATGATTCATAAGTCAATAATTTTGACTTAATAATTTTACCTTGATATGATTAATAATAATTATTAAAAATAATAATAATTAGCTTAATAATTTTATTTCAACGTGATTCTTAACTCAATAATTTTGATTCAATATTTTTCCCAACATCATTTATAATAAGTCAATAATTTTGACTTAATAATTTTACCTTGATACGATTAATAATAATTATTAAAAATAATAATAATTAACTTAATAATTTTATTTCAACCTGATTTTCAACTCAATAATTTTGACTCAATATTTTTTCCAATATCATTTATAATATATCTACAATTAAAATAACAAATAACAAGTGACAAATTACAACTAACTTTACTGCTATCAATATCACTATCAATATCAGTATCACTAACATATTAATCTTTTAATATTTATATTTCTTATAATCAAACATAAAGCTTTGTATATCGAAAGTTTATGATTTGTATGCATTATCAATAAAATTGAGTTGCCGATGTTTTGTCTTAATATGTAACTTAGTCGGATAAGTTTCTTTTGTAGTTAAACATAAAATTTGTTCTATGTACGAAGGTTCAATGATTTAGGTATATCTCTAACTTTATACTAGTGTTAAAACTTAACAAACTAAGTTGCAACTTGAGTTAATTGAGTTTGTTCTTATACAATGAATCAAGGTTCCCTTACTCCGTTGTCGTACAATAGTTCATACAAGATTGGATCTTTGTTTCCCCAAACTTGCTTTCATCCAGAAATAATGGCAGGGAAGGAAACTATCGTGTGGAATTTTTCCTAGCCGTAGGATTCTCGTCTCTACTTGAGGCACGTTTCCCGTTGGTTTATGAAACTTCTAGTAACCAACGGCCAAGAGGAAGTGCTAACGCCTTGAAGGCACTTTAAACTTTCAGCAACTAAAGCACTGTCTTTAATGGCTGTAATGGCCACTGTGGATAAGGGCAGACTTTCATCCACGAAAACAGCGTCTATACTTTGCATACATCCGTCAAAATTCTGACAGGCATTAACAACACGTGTTTCATTTTAAAATCCTTCTTAAGGTATATCAATTACTATTTAAAATTCGTGTTACGTTTTAAATACTTCTGTTTTTTATTCAATCAATATGCAGTTTGTATTTTCCAGTCGATTATTTTATTTTATTTTTAGACTTTGCACAGTTATTTTCAATTATTCCTTTTTCCCATTCTACTACTTTTTTTCTATGAAATTATTTTCAATTATTTTTATTTTTAATTCAAACACTCATAATTATTTTTTTTTATAATTAATTACATTAAATTACCTGTATTCTCTACTAAATTATTTTCGATTATTTTTATTTCCTATTCAATTATTTAAAATTATTGATAATTATTTTTATTTTCCACGAGTAATGTTATTGATTATTTTTAAAAAATTACTATATAATTTAAACGTAAATTGCTTAAAAGATTATTCGATGCAAGTTTTTAATTGTTATTATTGCAGTAGACTCTCGTTGTATTGCCATGAACAGAAACATAAGAATAGACATGCGTTTTCTATGTTCGACGGAAAATTTGCGATTTTATTCGGCACTTGATCTTCGTAAACTTTTGTAAATTTTCGTGGATCTCCGCGTGTTACGATAGAAGGCGCTACTAATGATAAGACACGGCAATATAACGAGAAACTACTGTATATTTTTCTTATCTTCAGCAAATAAACGTTTATCTATTTTAATCTCAGTAAAAAGAAATGTTTCTTTATTTTAGGAATTTTTGTCTTAGTAAATGTTTACCTATGTTAATCCTAGAAAATTAAATGTTTTCCCGTTTCAGTAATTGTCGTTTTAATTAGCGTTTACCCATCTTAATGTTAGTAAAAACCTTAATCTTAGTAAAAATAATTTATCTCAGTAATTACACTAATGAGTAATGAATATCTGTACAAGGTAGCCAAGATAAAAGAAGTTCGGAGTCATACTGTAAATGACGAATTTGAATTGAGCGCTCAAGAGAGGTCACGTGATGACTAGGCCCCTTTTATCTTGACTTCTACTAATCATACCCATTACTAATCGTAACTATTAGGTCGAGTCATAAGTAACTTCCGATGCAGCTAAATAGATTTTATATTGTGTATTATGGTGAGATTATGAAGGTATAAGTCACCACGAGTTGTTGAAGTCAAATTTAACGATTACTGCGGATAAATACATTCAGCAATTGCAAAAAGTGCAAGAGAAACTCCTAGAAAAGTGCCCTGCACTCGTCAATCGCAGAAATATCATTCTTTTACACGACAACGCGCGACCGCATACAGCAAGGGTGACTCAAGAAAAAATTCTTGAGCTTGGATGGTCTG